TTTCAATGAAAAAATTGGATTTGAAAAGTTATGACATAAAGTTATGGCCCTAGAAACCTGACGTTGTGGATTCAATGGAGACAACGGGTAGTGGGAAGCCCCCTGCATCAGCGGCCACTCGCAATTTTCCTACACAAAAAGATATCGTCTCCGGAAAAATCAAAATATTTGATTTTTTCCTAATATTTATGAATTTTTATCAAAAAATACCTTCTATAACTGAAACTTTGGGTTCAGTCCAAAAAACGGGTTGTTGGGAGCTCCTTTGCATAAGCAACTACGCCCAATTTTTTGACACAAAAATTTATGGCCCTCGAAAAAGTCAAAAAAAATTTTGAAACTTTTTGATTTTTCTCGATAACTATCTGTTCAACGCTACGCTCATGCTTAACGGTATGATTCTCGGAAAGGTAAATTTTCTGATTTGCAGTCCTTTTTTGAACTATTCTCGATAACTTCCCTGCTAAATCAGATATCATTGGTTCAATCAGGACAACAGGTTGTTGTGAGCTTACCTTTAAAATTTTTAGGGACAGTCATTTTTAGAAAAAAGTCAAGGTCTTCAAAGAAGTAAAAGTTTTAAAACTTTGACCGCTTGCGGAAGTAATTTTACTCGCTTCGAAAAATTACCGTGCCAATTCTCAGGTTAAGCTATCAATCGAGAATCCCAACTTTCGTAATTTTGTCTAGTTTATCGGCCACGATCTGCTTTCAGCAGAAATCGGTTACGGATTTTTAAGAAATTTTTTGATTTTTCCTAAAAACTACCTGAGCAAATCTGAGATGAAAATTTCCATCGAAACAAGCAGATGCCCGAGATTTCCTGTAGAAGCAGTTATTTCTTACTTTTTTTAAAGAGAAGCGTTGTCTTTGGGAAAAAATTGAAAGAACAAAAGGCTTCACTCTTCTCATTTGTATAATTAGAGAAACAATTAAGCTTTTGGGCAAAGTCCCAATTTTGAAACGACGCTTTTTGTCGAGCATCACTAAAAAAATTCAAAAAAATTAGGCCCTAGTGTCCTTCAGCGAGACACAATCATTTTGGTTCACCGATTTTTTTTCATCAATTATCTTTTTTTTTTCGACGCATGCTTTCTTATGGTTGTGTTTTATTGCAAGTGATTCGAAGCTCCGCTTGGCCTCTGTGTTCAAATTGGCTTCCAGTACTTCCTAGATTTAAGTGATGTGTTATTTTAATATAGGATTAGACAATGTTTTAAAAGATTTTTTAATAGACCGCTTTCCGACTTTTTGATTTAACACCTCTCAATCTTCTCGAATGTTCCTTGTATCATTTAACACACTGGCTTGATCTGATAATTGCTTTCAGTTTTTTTTCCATAACTTAGTTGTTTTATGAAGAACACACGTCGACACTTCATTTAACTTTTGGTGATTTTCTATAAAAGACTTATTTTTCAATTGAAGCTTCTCAATAAAAATATCTTCTTAAATATTGCTTATAAAAATCTCACATAACATAGACAAAAAAAATATACTGGTTACTAGGCTGTAAAATTTGCGTATCAGTTAGTTCTGATAAACTTGGTAAACTATGGCAGTTGATGGCACTAGTCGAGTCGTTTGACGCATACAATAATTATGATGCATCCTTGCCCACTGTTCGTGAGACGGTCGTGTGAGATGAACTATGTCTGTATATAGATCACCTTTCCTTGTCCTCGTCTTTACAGCTGCTTTCTCATTAGGCTACACCCTAGGCCAATATTTTTAGACCTTGCATGATGAAATAATGCAAAAAGAAGAGATCAATAAATTTCTGCTTAGGTGCTCGTCTGAATTGATATGAGGAAATTAAATCTGGATTTTTTTTGTCAAAAAACAGTAATTACGAGGCTAAACTGTGCATTTTGTGCATTGTAAGTGGAATCTACAACAGGCCAAAATCAGCTTTGTCGCGGAATCCGCATCATTGCTACTTTTCTCTGATCTTCTTTGCTGTTTTTGATTCCACAAACAAGTACCTAAAATACTGTAACGATCAGAATCGCTCCAAAAATATGCGAATTTGCGGAATCCGCAACCGTATTTGCGGAATCCAGAACAAGTTGAGGAATCCACAAACAAATAATAAGACATTTGTGTTGTTAAACTGGGCTGTTGCGGATTCCGCAATTGTAAGCGAAATCCGCAAATTGAAAGTGGAATCCGCAAATGTAAGGGGAATTCGCAAAGTGTAAGTTGGATTCGCATTTTGTTTGCGGATTCAATTTACTATATGTATACATGTAGCAGCGTTTTAAATTATTTTATTTTTTTACTAGGTGGTCACCAGCAAGATCAATCTCAATTACTAAGTTGATCAGCGAACAATTGATTTGATTTCATTTTATCATCTCATCTCAAATACTGCCTTCATGATTCGCCTTCATGAAATTCTCTATCAACTAGATCGGTTTGGGATTTGGGAACTGACCTAACTCGGCGATATATTGGGCGTTGTGTTTTCAATAATTCAACTCATTAACTCGAAATAATGAATATATTCGGTGTTGTTTTTCCAAAACTATGATCCCGAAAATTGCTTGCTGGAATGTGTATCCAAATTACTAAAGAGTGACATCCACCAATTTAGGTAACTTGGTAACTCCACCAATTTTATAAGATTTTCTCGTGGATTCCGCTGACAATGGTTAAGTCCTTGCATATAAGTTTTACATTGATATAGATAAGAATTCCAGCTTTAGCTCTTAATTGTTCATATGCAAGCTCAGTAAAAAACAAAACTCGGAATCCACTTACAGTTTGCGGAATCCACTTACATGTGCGGATTCCGCTTACAAGTTTAGCTATATTTGCTTGTTGAGGAATCCGTGACACAACAAATGTGCCGACAAACTTTGTACAGTGTTTGTACGCGGAATCCACGGAAATTTTGGAACATGTTTAAAGATGGAATCCAGGAACATAGGGGCACAAAATTTTGCGCAAATCCAGTGCAGTTTGGCCTCGTACTGGGTAAAATTATTATTTGTTTGGGTCAGTGTAAATAGTTTTGATGAGTTCATATTTTAAGTTTTCATTTAAATACTGTGATCAGAAGGTAGTCATCAACCTAATATTTTTTTGGTGATCATTGAAAACATTTATGATATTTTTTTGTGGTCTAAAACAATATGAATTTAATCGATTCCCATTTTTTGCTCAGACTTGAAAATGAATTCAATTCAGTTTTCCCTCAAAAATAAAATGCATTATCTTTCATTTGAAGTCCATTAGAATGGATTATATAAAAAGTAGAAAATCACATTAAAGTTGATTTTTTCTACATTTTCCTTGTTTCGCTTGGTTTTGAAAATACATGAGAAAACAAGAGTTGATAACAAAACACGCTCTAAAAACAAAAATTAGATTGAAATTAAGATAATAATTGCTGGGGTGAACCCCTCGACCTGAACCAATCCCCACGCCAGAGCCACTCCGCCCACCAGAGCAGAGTTAACCCGCCACCCTCAATTGTACCAATCCCCCTCACCTGAACCAACCAAACCCCCCGCCCCAATTTGAACCAGCCACCGATCTCACCGGAATTAACTCCACCCCACCTAATACAACCCCCTCCACCTAAATGGACCAGGTGGGAACGGGTTGGGTAGGGGAATTGGGGGTGTATTGGTTCAAGTGGGGGATGGGGGTGTTGTTTCAGCTGGAGGGGGCGGTTCTGGCGAGTGGGATTGGTTCAGGTGGGGGGAGGGGCTTGGCTCAGGTGGTGTGGGGGGTTGTGTTGTATCAGTTGTGGAAGGGGGATTGGGTTGTGTTGGTTCACGTGGGTGGGGGGAGGGGGAGATGGATCAGAACAAAATTGAGTAATTGAGTAACATAAAAATATGGAATCAATAATGACCGGTTAGCTTGCATCAATTGAATTTGGGAGATTGTGTGGTGCTGAATTTTTCGCTACGCGTAAATAATGCGAACTAAAATTTCAGCATCAAATTATCACACCGCTCTTTTAGTCACGTTAGTCAAAAAATGTTATTCGAAAGAATATTCAAAAATATTCAAAAAATTTCCCTCATTTTGGCAGCAACCTGTATTTAGGACACTTGGTTCTCAAATCTTAAATTGTCATCTTTCAGTTGGTTTATACATCATCAAAATTATGATCACACTCCGATAACTTATTAATTCCGAACTGGAAATTTGCGTTTTATCAAGTAATGCATGTGAAAGATAATTCACATCATGAATAACCAGAAGTTTCGGGTCAAAAATTTTTCCTCATTTTGGCCGCTATCTGAAATTTCAGGTCTATAAATTTCCCTCATTTTGGCGGCAATCTGAACTTTTGGAGCAGTAGTTTTCCCTCATTTTTGCCGAAACCTAAATTATCGGTTCAATAGATCTCTCTCATTTTAGCCGCAACCTGAATTTTCGGGTCAATAAAATTCCTTCAATTTGGCCGAAGCCTAAATTATCGATTAAATAAATCTCTCTCATTTTGGCCGCAACCTAAATTTTCGGGTCAACAAATTTCCCTCATTTTGGCCGCAACCCAAATTTTCGGGTCAATAACTTATGTCAATAAATTTTCTCTAAAAAGGGAGGACTTGAACAAAAATAAAATTATTAGAAACACAGAATAAGTTGCGAATTTTCAAGACACTATTTAAATTACCCGAAATTAGCATATTTTTCCTACGCCACATGTAGATGTTTATGGCTTTTTGGAAAATTTGACGACAATTGATATTTTAGTTCTAAAACACTGAGTACTCACGGAATGACAGAAAACAAAAAACCTAAAAAAAATAGATGCATTTTTAAGAAGTTTTTGAAAAGTTTTGACCGATGCAATTGCAGAATTGTGCAAAAGTCAGTCAAAATTGGTTGTCCTATAATAATACCAAAGGAGGGACCCTTTAGATCGGCAGTGAGTCGAATTCCTGAGGGGGAGGGCATCCCCCTAAATCCGCCCATGATTCTAATGGTATCTAGCTCTTTAAAGTAGAAGTTTCTTCATTTTAAAATTTGTTCAGAAATCCAGAGTGTCAAAAACAAATTAATCCAGCGCCTCAACTTCAAGCCAAAAGACTTTAAATGCTCCTTCAGAGGTCCCACAGGCGACAGTCGAATGCACACTATTGAATTTGCCAACACGGACTCTTTCGTCGACTTAAACAAAATGTTCGCCAACTTGACTGTAGCAGAGAGCTCTGGAATCAAAGCAAATGATGCCGAACACATGAGCAAAGGTCTGAACTTCAAACATTTTATCGACTTCTTTCTCTAACCTGTCAAAAACGAAAAAAAAATGTTTGAAACATACTTCACATATTTCCAGAAAAATTTTTTGAGAAAAAGAAATCCGGCTAAGTTGAGGCGGCTGTTATCCATACGGATACAGTAGGTACCGATATGAACTGATATCCATTCGGATATATTAGAACTATGTCTACCTAAGACAGTATATCCATCTTGAGTGCTAACCATATATACTTATGTAAACTGAACTATATAGAAGTCTGATCTAAATTAAGTACCTATTAAACCTAACACCATATTCAATAGTTATTTATGAGTCTCTGTCTCTCTCATGATTTCGAGGTCAGATTCGAATCAGACTTAATTTTCGTAACTGAATTTAAGTTGTTCTCTATCTCTTCGTATTCTATTCTCAGTTAGCGATCAAGCATTGACTTTGACTACATAGATTACACAGTGTATACCTCACCCAACGGTTGAGGGTATAACATGGCGCAGCCAGCACTTACAACAAAAAACCCACTCGGCATTGCCCCATTCTGACAAAAAGCCTCGGCGGAACCGCCAACAGAGTGGGAGAAGTGGAACCAGCAACTCTACTTAGGAATTGTCGCAAAAGATGGCATAAACCTGCAAAAGTTATTACGAGATCCACCTGCAGTGAGAAAACCGCAAGAACCCGGTTATGAACTCCTGATAGAAGGGGAAACTCAAGCACAAACCAGGGACAGGAACATTCGTAACCAAGAAAAAAAGATACAATGGGACAACCAATGTGCACAACTGGACAACTTGGGACCCACCGTGGATGGAATACCATGGGAGGAAGCCGACATAAAAGTCAGAAGCTACATTTACCTAAGTCTTGGAAACGAAGGTCAAAGACGCCTAAACCAACACTATCCCGACATAAAGATACAAGAAATATCAACAAGAGCATTCTGGAATCGATTGGAACACCTTTTCATTAAAGACCGTAATGTTACATTTGATAGATACGAGGCCTTCACAAGAAAGCAGAATAAAACAGAAACGCTGGAACAGTTCCACTGCGGGCTCACTGAATTGGTCATAAAAGGAAACTTCAAATGTCCCAATTGCAACAATAACACATTAGAAACAGAGATTATTCGAGATTTATTCACAGCGAATATGACAAATGATGAAGTACAAAAAGATCTACTTGCCGAGACCAAATCCCCAGAGCAAGCGTTTGAATACGCCATACGCAGAGAAAAAGGGTTGGAAAATCAAATCCAAATCCGCAAGCAGGGTTCCACGACTAATCCTTTTCAACAAACGGGTATAAAAACAGAACCAGTTGGGTTCATTCAAAGAAGAGGAGGGGACCCGTACCGTAATAACAGAAGAGGAAACAATAGCGGTCGAGGACAAACACAGCGGGGAAGCTCGCAACGACAAAACAGAGACAGAAAGCAATCTTGTTTTAAGTGCGGTAATCCGTTCGGACCCGGTCACCTCCAACAATGTCCAGCAAAAGACAAGATTTGCAATAAGTGCACAAAAAGAGGACACTACGCACGACTCTGCAACTCTTCCAATGTTAATGCTATCAGCGAAGAAGCAAATCTCGAAGCGAATGTCCAGGACACCGACATAGCAGCGTATGTCGACTATCTCCAGGCAGGGGATGTCGTCCCGGGATGGGAATTCATAAATCCAGATGACAACAGCGTGAATGCGGTACACTATGAAGAAGAAACGGCAGGAAACTTAACAACAAACGACTTAATAGGACACCTTATTCGAGTTAAAATTGGGACGAACAGCATTACCTTCATTGCCGACACAGGATCCCCAACATCGTTTGTAAATAACAAAACAGCGGTCATATTAGAAAATACGGTGCCACGAACTCGACGGATTCAGCTCAACCAAAATGACGAGGCAAATAGAATGGTCAGCTACAACGGTTACAAAATCCCTGCGTTCGGCAGGCTGATTGCCCCTATAGAATCAGGAGGGTGGACAATCAACACAGCACCATTCGTGGTGGTTGATGATAAACGAGCAAACATCCTGGGTCGCAATTTGCTCCCGCAACTAGGCATTCACCTTCAACAGGAAAAACCAACTGGTAAGTCAATCAATTACATTACAGATCCAGAACAATCAGACACGGCCATCACAAACTGGGTTAAAACAACATACCCAGGGTTGTGCACTCGTATCGGCCGATCTAAAAACCATGAAGTTCATACGAAATTTTTACATGACTTCAAGGCACTTCAACAAAAGGGCCGCCGAATCCCGATTCATATTCAGGAAAAAGTTGAACAAGAACTTAAATCTTTAATTGACCAAGGCCATATCGTGAAGCTCGACAGTTGTAGCGACAAACAATTTATTAGTCCAATCGTTATCACGGTAAAGAAAGATCAGTCAATCAAGTTAGCCATGGACTCAAAACAAATCAACAAAGCGATACATAAAAATAAGTATCAGATGCCTAACATCGACGTTCTGCTCGACAATGTGGCACAATCAGCTCAGGAGGGAAATGGCAAACCAGGCACAACATATTTTTCTACCATCGATCTCCGATATGCATATAGCCAATTAAAATTAGATGAAAAAACTAAAACGCAGTGTAACTTTAGTATAATCGGTGGACAAGCGACGGGAACCTATCAGTTCCAAACAGGATTTTACGGGCTCACGGACATGCCCGCAGAATTCCAGAAAGCCATTGACCTAACGTTAAACAACGAAAAAGATACTTTCGCATTTCTAGATGATATATTAATTATATCTCACGGAACAAAAGAACAACACATGGAAAAACTGAAAAAAGTATTAGATAAACTGGATCAGGAAAATATGGCGATTTCTTTAAACAAATGCAAATTCGGCTGTAAAGAGGTCGAATGGCTGGGATTCATAATAAATGAATACGGGACAATACCAATGCACAAGAAAACCGAAGCTATCACTAATCTACAACACCCTAAAACCTTCAAACAAAGTTTTATGGGTTCGATTCATCATCTAAATAAATTCATACCCAACCTGGCACAATTGTGCACACCATTAAGGCCGCTCTTATCATCTTCTTCTAAATTTCACTATGTTTGGAACCAAGAACATGAAAAGGCATTTCAGACAATCCTGACAGCGGTGCGAAACATCACAGAAAATCGTCACTTTGTGAGCAACCGAGAAACACGGATAGTCTGTGACGCCAGCCGCGAGGGTATAGGAGCTGCTCTCGAACAGGAAACTCCAGACGGATGGGGTACGGTGGCGTACGCGTCCAGATTCCTAAATGCATGTGAAAATAAATATTCAGTAAATGAATTGGAACTCCTAGCTGCGGTATGGGCTATTGATCATTTTAAATATTATCTGTATGGCCGCCGCTTTACACTAATTACTGATCATCAAGCTTTGGTTAGTGCCCTAAATAGCAATAAAAGTAATAAAACTTATCAAAGTCGCCTAACCAGATGGATTGACCGTCTTATTCCATTCGATTTTGACATCAAACACCTTTCCGGCAGTAAAATGGGCTTAATAGACTATATTTCGCGCCATCCGGTAGGAAAACCACAACCTCCCGCATATTGGGATGAACATTTTGTTGTCGCACTAATAGACGATTTCATTTCTTGCCTGGAATTTCAAGACAGCACTATAGCTAATATCGAAATGATTGAAAATCCATACGGATTTCTAAGCACATTACAGCTCGACCGGAACGAAAACTTTAATCGTTCGCTTTCGCACACAAAAGAAACACATTTCACTGTTAATGATCATTCTCTCTCAAACAGTCACTCTCCGTCACGATCAAAATTTTCAAATTTCTCTCAATCAAATCGAAACATTTCAAACTATAGTCCGGATAATTCAAACATTTGCCACCAGCCTTCAACAAATCAATTACGTAAAGAAGAAAATACAAGTAGTCATCAACAACAACAAGTGTATTTTAATTCAACATATATTAACCCAGCCGCTAACAACATGAGCCGCCAATTGCAGACAGGAATGTCATTACCCCCTTTCAAAAGAATCATGAGGAAATGCCACAGCGGCCAACAGACTACTTTATCGTTTCCACCTGCTAAACATACGTCATTCGCTGAAATGCCCGTAAAACCAGGCCAATCCACACTGTCCTTTAGCGATGTTCGTCATCAAGTAATTCCCTCAAAAGATAGCTTCACATTCGTCAGGAAATCAGATCAGCTATGCCAAACGGACCCAGAGGAACAAACGGAGTGTCAAGCAATCTCAATGGAGGACGAAGATGTGCCCCTCTTCCGAAAGAATCTCAGAAAGGCACTGGACGTGGATTTCATTGCGGCCGCCACAAAACGCGACAGAAACCTCCAGCCTCTGATCAACATGATCAGAAACCAAAAGTGGGAACAAATAAAGGCCTGTTACGGCCCTTATTTTTATAACGTGCGCGACCGTTTGTCAGTCCGAGACAATGTGCTACTCTATGACGACAGAGTAGTAATCCCGAAACAACTTAGACAGATTGTATTGGACTCAATTCACTTAACCCACCCAGGACAAGGCAGTATGTTAGAAGCTGCCAAACATATTTGGTATCCATACCTCCACCGGGACATAGTGACGGCAGCACAGAATTGCAAGGAGTGCCGCACCAAAGGTAAGAACCTTCGGGTGATCTCCGGGAAAAAACACTATACTAGTCTTGACGCCGTAGTAGAACCGAACGAGGAAATCCAGCTGGATTTTGCTGGACCGCTACCGGATGAGAACGATAAAAACGTGTACATTCTGGTCGGGGTAGATAGGTTCTCGCGATTCCCATACGCAAAAGTAGTAGCAAATAACAAAGCAGACACAATCATAAGATTTATGCAAACACATTTGGTCAACCAAGGGGTACCAAGAAATATCCGGTGCGACCAAGCTCAAGGGTTTCGGGCTAAGAAATTTATGATCTACTGCAAAAGCAATAACATTAAATTAATATTTGCCCCAGTGGATGACCATCGCTCCATGGGCATGGTGGAAAGACTAATTAGAACTCTGAAAACTCGTCTCTCTATAATGAAGATAGATAAGAATAACACACCATACAAACTAGCGTCAGACGTGGCGGAATTAATCAAAACACTGCGCATTACCCCACACGCCACAACAAAAATTACACCGTTTGAGGCGCACTATGGGCGTAAACCAAACACACCATTAACTAATATTTGCACTACACCTAAAATTTCTAATCTATCATGGGAAAATACAAAACTTTCGTGCCTAGATGAGAAGATGCTTACAAAATCCGCCCTCACGCCTGAGGCCATCTGGAATAGGGATCTCAATAGCGAGGATGAGCTCAGTGTTGTGTACAAACAGACATATCTTCCTGAACCCTCTTACGAACCAGCAGGACCATCGTCACAGGTGGTAGGAACCAGTACCCCAGGACACACAATCCCTAAACGGGCCATCCCTGAGACAACGAAAGAGCAAACGAAACAAACGCAACGGAAACAACCCTTACTGTCGGACACAGACAACGATGAACTGTTCGACCAGGCCCTGCTACGTAAATTCCCAATAGGTGCGCACCTTCCACTTAATAATATACCCTATGATTTACAAAAGGTTAAACGGTCGTTTCTCGCCGAAAACCCCAAAATGAACATAGCAAATATTAGAACACGAAAACCAATTCGGTGGCTTACACAACAAGAGAAACAAAGAATCGAAAGAGCTCCCTTGGTGTTCCTAAAAGATCGGTTTAAAGGACCCCAAAACACCATAGATCCGGTGTTAGGAAAACGCATTGAACAGGTAGCGCGAAAATCGGGCACAATAGCACGCAAAACAAAAAATCCTGGGGTGTTTGGGCCACAATTCAAAATCATCGAAAACGGGTCAATAATTAATTATTCCCCACACACTGCATGGGTTCGGGAAGACGGAAAGCAACCAAGGGTCATAAGACACGACGGTCTAGCTTTTGTACCTGATCCACGGGTGTATGGAAAGTGTCGACCGGCACAATTAAAGGATTTCGTAGCGTATAAGCACTTACCAAGAGCAAAATCCCGTATTTTAGACACAGAACCCAAACAGTGTGAACCAACTGGCTCGAAAAACCCGAAGAAGAAAATACAACAAGGAAACCCGGCGGGTAACACCTCAACGCCAACAAGCCCAAAACGAAAACCGCCCAAAAATGTCGAAGAACTTATTCGACAAACGACCAACAGAAGGAAATTAGGACATGATCGGATTCACAGAACGAACCCCACAACCTCAAAAGCCCCCACGAGGAAAATCCAGACAGCGATAACTAGCAACTTAAAATCACCGAGCCGAAAAGGACAAGGTAGTCCAAATAAAACGCGCAAGGAGGAAAACAAGACCGTCGAATTTGCTTGCGATACATCAATCTCCATCTCATCCGACGACTCAATCATTCAAGACTTGAGACCAGCAACACACATGCCACCAGCCAAAAAACTAGATCGAAAAAATACGCCACCCCAAGACACAAATGAGAGTACCAAATCAAAGGATACAATTCCATGCCGTCGATCCACAAGAACTAAAACAAGCGCCCTGGCCCTAAAATTCGGAAATGCAATCCCGATCAACAAAATTGCCGGAAGTAATTCCGACACTGAGGTATGTCTCATAACGGTGCAACAGGATAAAAGAGAACCAACTGGCCAAATTGTCACTGTTCACGAATCCTCAACTGATATAGAGTGCATAGAAATTGATTCAAGGGACAAAGCATCAAGCCAATCCTCTGAGAAAACACCCGAGCAGCTGAGAGTTACAGCATCCGGCGAGGGAACAGGCGGCCCACTCGAAGCGGAGTACGAGCCTACCAATACAGTGAAAACACCGACCCAGTTATCCACACATACGCCGTCCCCACGGAGTAGTCCAAGAGCAGAATTAGATACGTCATCTACGTCAATTGGCCTAAATGACCCACAACAACGACCGATAAGCTCACGTTACGTCATTGACAGACCTAACGAAACGACATGCTCACCGGACAAATCCTTCATCGAAAACTTCAATGATGCAATGAAAATTCTGCAGTCCATCTCTCCGCCCAAAAATTCAATGACCTTTCAACGGGAATACGAGATACAAGAACGATCTAAACGCCCAAGTAAACAGGACAACTATAACAAGCCAGGCACTCCACAGACATCATCGGAACGAAACTCTCAACAGATATCTCAAGTACCGTGGAATGAAGACGACCCCAAATCACAAAAAGACGCTGCGGACGATATAAAGAATATATGAGATGTATTCTTCATATAAGAAAAAGGGGAATGTTATCCATACGGATACAGTAGGTACCGATATGAACTGATATCCATTCGGATATATTAGAACTATGTCTACCTAAGACAGTATATCCATCTTGAGTGCTAACCATATATACTTATGTAAACTGAACTATATAGAAGTCTGATCTAAATTAAGTACCTATTAAACCTAACACCATATTCAATAGTTATTTATGAGTCTCTGTCTCTCTCATGATTTCGAGGTCAGATTCGAATCAGACTTAATTTTCGTAACTGAATTTAAGTTGTTCTCTATCTCTTCGTATTCTATTCTCAGTTAGCGATCAAGCATTGACTTTGACTACATAGATTACACAGTGTATACCTCACCCAACGGTTGAGGGTATAACAGCGGCCAAGAAGGATTTTCTATATGCATCAATTTATCAAGTCAAATCACGAGCAATTGACATCATCGGCAAAACAATCTTTTTAAAAATACTTTCTTGTTGAAGCTTTAACCTTTCTTTTTGTGGTTTAACGGTTCTCTGGTGTAAATTTTTATTTTCTGTTGTTTTCAGAGCTCAACGGACTACTTTTTGCAAAGCCGGTAGAAGAAAAAGCACTTCCTTCTGTGAAAGTGATTGAAAACGAGTGGATTGAAAGACAAAAAGCAGAGAAGATTCTGAGACCTGCACCGACAATCGAAGAGAACCAGAGATCGGAGAACATCAAGGCGCGACTGGAGAGAGTGCAGCAAAATACCTACCAAGTACTGCAGACTGTCCTGCAACAGCAAGGTGAGCAGGGGCGGATTTGGGGGGGGGGAGGCGGACGTACCCTTCCCCTCAGGGATTCGACCCCTTGCCGACCCAGAGGGTCCCCCTTTGAAATATTTTAAAATATCCATTTTTGGCTGACGGACCCTAAAACTTTTCTAAAGGCGGGTTGACAAAAAAATGCTTATCATACGATTTTCATATATGAAAAAAATGCTTATCATACTCTTTCATACCATTTCATAGAGTAAAAGTGTATGTATGAAAGTAGCAAAATAAGCTTTTTTTTCATATATGAAATTGAATGAAAAGCATTTTTTCCATACTATGAAATTGTATGATAAGCATTTTTTCCATAAATGAAAATTCAAAAAATTTAAAAACCGAAAATAATAAAAACCGAATCACTAACCAAGGATGTTTTGTCGTGAGAAAACCCAGAGTGTAACTGGCAGTTACCACGCATTTAAACTGTTTTTGGTGGTGTTAACCATAAAAGTTAATTTTAATATTTTCACATGGAAATATATACAAAAAAAGTAATTTTTCGAATATGGCTAGATATTTTTTAGATTGAAAACTTTGATGGTTGAGAAAAGAAAGCCTGTTTTTTTTTTACAAACTTATTTTTATCTTAGCAAATGAAACAAAAGATAGTAATCGTGTTTTCAAAAAAAACATTTTCATGTAATTTTTGGGTTTTTTGGGTGAGAAACTCATCCTGGACTACGTTATAAACACAAAAAGGTCAAAATTTGCATGCAAATTGTTTTTTTCGTAAAATTTATAATTTAGCACAAATGCAAATTTGCAGCCAAAAAAGGGATTAAAAATTTTCTACCTCAAATTTTTATTTTTGTTTATGAAAAAATGCATATCATACAATTTTCATAATAGAAAACTTTATGATAAGCAGTTTTCTGACCGAAATTGAATTTATGTTTTTGATGTCAATTTGTCCTCTATCATAGATATACTTATTTAAATCTATTTAAAGTTACCCAGACACGTTTTCTGGTGATTTTTGAAAATTTTATTTTTTCTATGACCAAATGACTATTTTATAATTTTCACAATTTTCACACTCTGCGCATTTTGAAATATGCAACAGCAACGGTATAAAAGTCCGTGAGGCCACAATTCGTAACAAGGGACAGTTCCTGACAAACGACAATTTGAAAGAGTAGATTCGTAAGAGTAAGCGGGGCATACTTATTTGCGCGCAATATTCTGCTCGAGCTGTTATGTAAGCGCAGCGGAGCAAGCGTATCCTACTTACCAATGTCTTGTTACGAATTCTTGCTTGTAATGAATTGTCGCTTGATAAAAACCACAAATTGAAAATTTTCTTCAGTGGAAAAATTTCGGCAAACATTCATAAAAACTCAACCGAGCAAAGAAAGCTTTTAGACATAATGTTTCTTTTTTATCAATTTTTGCAGTTTTTTTTTGCAAAATTTCACCGACGAAAAAAAAAGATTTTTTTTTACATTTTTCGGTCAACTTAGGTTTGCTTTGAGCTACGTTTTCTATAATAAAAACATGTGGTTGACGAACTAATATTATCCCAACAAACAACCCAACAATCAACAAACGATCGAGTCAGTATATAAATCCAATTGGCTAATGTGTTCAAAAAGCAAGTGTTTTGTAATCGAGAATTAGACCTATTTTTCGAGAAATAGACCAAAAATGAAAAACAGACGCGTATCGTAAAGATATGTCTGCTGCGCTGCTGAGCTGAAATTTTGCTCGAGTGTTGTAAAGCTAGCGAGACGGTATTTGTCGCGAGTTTCCAGCTAATGTTTGCAAAAAAAAAGGAAAAAATGAGCAACACCGCTAACAACATATTCGGATCCATATAATAAAAGACTGCACAGCAAAAACACGCAGATGTCGTAGAATTATTTTTTGGTTTTATTATACACGGTACATATATCTAGCCATATTTTTTTTTAGTTATGTTTCATATCAAATATAGTTAACAAGGTACAAACTTCGTATATGCTTAACTGTTCAATTTTTTCTTTATAGAGGGGGGGGGGGGGAGGATATTCGTTACAAGGTACCATAGGGGGGAAATAGTTAACAAGATCTGTTACCTAAATCAGGCATTGTGAGAGGTATAATCAATTATTATCAAAAAGTACACCCAAAAGGTTTCTAATAAAAACTTCGTTTTACTACTACAAATTGCGAGGCACTTTTTGGTACAATTTTTGCATTACATGCATTTTCTTTTTATGTTAAAGTTTTTTAAGGATGTGTGAAACTTTATGGTTATCACTTTTTCAGAAACAAAAGACTTGGTTTTTGGTGCTTTAGTTCCTTTTATGTTTCGTAAAATGCATCCAAAATCTCTAAGAGAAACTGCGTTTTTAAGATACGCTAGCTTTCAATCACTAAGATAACAAAAGTTCTACGCGTTATAAGATAACAAAAATTCTACGTGTTCTATTTATGACCCTCACACGCTACCCGCGTTTAAGAAAAGTGAAAACAAAACTATTATAATGGATTTTCCTGGTCTATAATGTTGAAAATATAAACGATTCCCATGTTAAGTTCAGACAAGAAAATTGGACTAAAAATTGATTTAAATCCATTTTTTCTCGCCAAAACAAATTGCATTATAATTCATTTTGAACCCATTAAAATGGATTTTATAATAAGTAGAAAATCACATTAAAATGGAATTTTTGCCACTTTATTTTTGTTTCTTGCGTCGTGCAAAATTTTGCAAGAATTTCAGCACTTATCAATTGAGTTACACGGAAGCTTTGCAAAGCAAGTGTACGGCCTGGCCTAATCCATTCAAAATCCTAAACTCAAACTGCGAAAAGATTCCGTTGAGCTCTTATCAACCCCCCCCCCCCACCTGAACCCACCCCCACCTAAACCCACCCCCACCTGAACCCACCCCACCTGAACCCACCCCCACCTGAATTCATCCTCACCCCTACCTAAACCCATCTGAACACGTTACGTTGGGGGGAGGGGGGTTTGTTGTAAATGGGAAAACGCTAGGGGGTAATGTTGAGTAATATAAAAAAGTAACAAAAATATCAAAAATAGATAGAAAAAATTTCAATTGAACAACAAGTAACCAACGTAACCAACTCTTATTTAAAACATAGAATATACTTTATATGCGTTACAATTTGCATCTCAGTAAAGTGCAAAAAAAATCTATCATAAAATAGTTTCATTGTCAGTGTCCACAGTAGTGAAAACAAATCGATTATAATGGGTGAAAAAAGGATTTTGTTGCCTCGAAAAACAGTATTAATCTAATCCATTTTTATATTTTTAGTTGACCATAATCGATTGTTTTCACTTTTTCGGACACTAACAAAGAAACTCAATTATAATCGATTTTTAATCATGGAACTCCAATGATGGTATGTATTTTAGTCGAAATTTAGCCATCAAGTTTTGAGCATGAAATTATATTACAAGGACAAAAAATTGCTTCAATCATACAATTTACTTAGCAAAAACAAGCAGATGTCGTAAAATTATTTTTAAAGATACGCTAGCTTTCTATCACTAAGATAACAAAAGTTCTACGCGTTTTAAGATACCAAAAGTTCTACGCGTTCTATTTATGCCCCTCACACGCTTCCCGCGTTTAAGAAAAGTGAAAACAAAACGATTTTGATGGATTTTCCTGGTCTATAATGTTGAAAATATAAACGATTCCCATGTTACGTTCAGACAACCAAATTGGACTAAAAATTGATTTAATTCCAATTTTTTTCGCCACAACAAAATGCATTATAAATCATTTTGAACCCATTGTAATGGATTTTATAATAAGTAGGAAATCACATTAAAATAGATTTTTTTTCCATTTTATTTTGTTTCTTGCGTCGTGCTAAATTTTGCAGGAATTTCAGCACTTATCAAGTGAGTTACACGGAAACTTTGCAAAGCGAGAGTACGGCCTGGCCTAATACATTTCAAAACCTAAGCTCAAATTGCAAAAAGATGCTGTTGAGTTCTTCCCAACCCCCACATCCCCCCTCCCCCCTCGCTAGTATTGTCGCTAGTAAGAATTCATAAAGGCAACTTTTATCAACCCACGTCATTTTGCAACAGATGATTTTATGTATCAAAAGACCATATGGATATTGGCTTTCAAAATTGAAAGTCAGACGCGCATCGTCAAGATATGACTGCTGCGCTGCTGAGCTGAAATTTTGCTCGAGTGTTGTAAAGCTAGCGAGATGGTGTTTGTCGCGAGTTTTCAGCTAATGGTTGCAAAAAAATAAAAAAAATGAGCAAAAACGCTTACAACGTATACGGATTCATATAAAAAAGACTGCGTAGCAAAAACAAGCAGATAACGTAAAATTTTTTTTTGATATTATTATACACCGTACATATATCTAGCCAGATTTTTTTTCAGTTATATTTCATAATAATTATAGTTAACAAGGTACAAATTTAATATATGCTTTACTGTTCAATTTTTTCTTTATAGGGGGATACTCGTTAGAAGGTAACATGGGGGGAATTTACAAGATCCGTTACCTAAATCAGGCATTGTCAGAGGTATAATGAATTAATATCAAAAAGTACACCCAAAAGGTTTCTAATAAAAACTTCGTTTTACTACTACAAATTGCGAGGCACTTTTTGGTACAATTTTTGCATTGCATGCATTTTCTTTTTATGTTAAAGTTTTTTAAGGATGTGTGAAACTTTATGGTTATCACTTTTTCAGAAACAAAAGACTTGGTTTTTGGTGCTTTAGTTCCTTTTATGTTTCGTAAAATGCATCCAAAATCTCTAAGAGAAACTGCGTTTTTAAGATACGCTAGCTTTCAATCACTAAGATAACAAAAGTTCTACGCGTTATAAGATAACAAAAATTCTACGTGTTCTATTTATGACCCTCACACGCTACCCGCGTTTAAGAAAAGTGAAAACAAAATTATTATAATGGATTTTCCTGGTCTATAATGTTGAAAATAAAAACGATTCCCATGTTAAGTTCAGACAAGAAAATTGGACTAAAAATGGATTTAAATCTGTTTTTTTTCTCGCCAAAACAAAATGAATTATAATTCATTTTGAACCCATTATAATGGATTTTATAATAAGTAGGAAATCACATTAAAATGGAGTTTTTTCCACTTCTTTTGTTTCTTGCGTCGTGCAAGATTTTGCAAGAGTTTCAGCACTTATCAAGTGAGTTACAAGGAAACTTTGCAAAGCGAGAGTACGGCCTGGCCTAATCCATTTCAAAACCTAATCTCAATTTGCAAAAAGATTCCGTTGAGCTCTTCCCAACCCCCCTCCACTTTAACCCACCCCCGCGCCACCTGAAAACAACCCTCCCACCACCTGAACCCACCCCCTCCCCACCTGAACCCTACCTCCCCCCCCACCTAAACCCATCTGAACATGTTACGTTGGGGGGAGGGGGGTTTGTTGTAAATGGGAAAACGCTAGGGGGTAATGTTGAGTAATATAAAAAAGTAACAAAAATATCAAAGTTAGGAAAAAAATGCAATTGAACAAGTAACCTACGTAACCAATTTTAATTTAAAACGTAGAAAAGACTTTATGTGCGTTGAAATTTGCCTCTCAGTAAAGTGCAAAAAATCGGTCATAATTTAGTTTCATTGTCAGTGTCCACAAAAATGAAAAAAAAATCGATTATATTGGGTGAAAAAAAAAAGATTTTGTTGCCTCGAAAAACAGTAACACTATAACCCATTTTTAATTGATTATAATCGATTTGTTTTCACTTTTGTGGACACTGACAAGGAAACTCAATTATAATCGATTTTTAGTCATGGAACTTCAATGCGGGTATGTATTTTATTCAAAAACTAGCCATCATGTTATGAGCATGAAATTACATTATATGTACAAAAAGTTGCTTCAATCACACAATTTCCTTAAATGGAATTATTTAAGAGTTTAAAAATGCGTTCATGGGATTATTTATACTACTAGCTTTTTTGGAGATTATTTATTCTTGTATGGGATTATATATTCTACTATTTTTTTTTGTTACTCAAGTAGATTGACAATGTTTCAGCTGGTATAGATTTAACTTTCGAAACAAGTTTGTAGGTTGTGAAGCTTTAATGACTGATGATGAGGAAGATGACGACCTACGAGGCGCTTCTCAGACAATCCTGGACTATATATTTACTCCCAATTGGAAGGATTATTCGACGAATCACGACAAAGAACAACTAGCCATGTCTTTGCCAAAAGGAAATCCATATGCTTCAAATGATTCAATTTAGAGAGAAATGAAGACTGCTCGTATATCAGAGCGAATCCCTGAATGTTCCGACAGCACTTTAAGGCCAATGAAAAACTTTTTTTGGACTGACTAAGGGGTTTTCAATTTTTCTTCTCTTTATACCCCTCACACGCTATGTAAAATACAAACAGTTTATTTAGCCTCTTGTATTGTTTAATAGGACTAAATTGCCCGTTAATTTATGCAAAAAAGATCACAGGTGAATTTTTTTCAATTCGAACAGCAAATTCTTTCTTATGGTATAAAAAAGTTCCATCAAAATCACTTATTTGAAAAATCGAAAATTGACTGATTAAAAAGCATCCCTTTGGATAATATTTCTGTAGTTTCCTCAACACTCGGACCAACAAGACTGCTCGTATTAATTGTCTCAAATGGACAATATTTAAACCTTTATGTTTACGAAAAATGATCACAGGCGGAGGCAGGTTTTCAAAAATGTTTGGCAAATTTTTGAAGAAAAGTGGTTTTTGGGCACTTTTTGGATAATTTCGACAAAAAGTTCGAATTTCCGGCGCACGCTCCCCTTCAAAAAAATGAGTGGATATTGGCGCCCTCAAAATTATTGTATATTGAAAATAGTGTATTTTTCGGATTGATCGGTCTAGAATGGATCAAATTAATAAGATGTCATAAAATATACCAAAGGGCAGGGGGGATTTAGGGGGGGGGGGGGGGGGGGCAGGGATAGATTTTGCCCATCCCCCCTTTGGTACTTTTTAAGAAATCTACTTTTGGCCGACCGACCCTAAAATTTTTTAAAGGCGCCTTTGGTGCCAATATATCCTAACTTTGAGAGGGAGAGCGCGCCAAAATAAACGCGATTTTTTGTCAACATTTTTCAAAAAGTGCCCAAAAACGGCTTTTTTGACCTTTTTTCAGAAATTTTCTTGCGGCGCAAAAAATTTGGCCGAAACAGCGTCTTTTTAGTGCTTTAGAAGAGCTCGGAAAATCAAATTAAATTAATTTGATCGAACTAAAAAAAGTCGTTGAAGGGACCTTGTGGTTGGCGAGAGGGTCGAAAAGAAGCACCATGTAAACCAGCCCCAACCACATGAGGAATTTTTTTTTATTTTTGAGCTCAAGTCGATAACAACTTTCGTATGATTGCTTAAAAGTTTTTCAAAATGCTAGATGATAAGGCAAAATTTGTCTGGAAAAAACCATTCCCATCACAAATATTTCAGCCTTTCTTCAAAAATATATTTTTTTCTTGCTTATTCCATTATTAATCAAAGTTGCTCAAGCCAAGGATAGCCGGTCGCTGGGCAGGTAGCACAGATTTTTCCGCCCAAAAAATTTCAAATGATAAAAAAACCATTCAAAAAATAACAAAAGGTTTAAAAAAGTTTCAGTTTTTCATAATCAAAACTTTTAATCGGTGCTTTTTCATAACAAAGGGCAGATGACACGAAAGATGTTTCAGTTTATTTTTGAATACTCATTGTTAAGATTAAGTTCTGGGTGATTTTGTCAAATAATGCTGCTAAAAAAGACATTTGCCTGGAGATTGAAAAACTACTCCTGTACAAACATTCCACCACCTTCTCAGAACAAAAAAAAAACGTTTCAATTTTAACGAAAGGCAGCAGCATGTTTTCATTCAAAGTCTTACACCTTAAAGATTTACTGAACGCGCGTCTTGTTAATTGAATTATTTGATTGAATCGCTTAAATCCAGGAATGCTTCTTAATGACTCATTCAAGCCCAGTAATCCGAAGATTAGAACAGTCAGACTGAATATGCAGAGACAGGCTCTGGCCGCTTTCAACTGCCAATCGCCCTCACACATCGGTGTAAAAATCAACCCAAATCAGTGAGTATTGTAGCCAATTACTATATCTTCTACAAAACTAGATACGAAAATTGCCCAATCAAAACCAAAAGCTTTTTTTCTATAATAACTATTTTTTTTCAACAAAGTAAAAATCATGCTAGCTCAATTTAATAGACCTTTGAATTTCTAAGGAAAGTTTCGTTAAGCAAAATTGATTAAAGAGTCATTTATAAGAACTTTTGGGGCCCGAAACGAATATCCTATGAAGAACTTATTCGGTGATCTGTGTTTTTGGCAGACACGCTTATAACTCTTCCCCAGTGTAGATTGTACTTCTAGTCAATTTCTACAAATGAAAAAGTATCTGTAATGAAAAACTTAGTACCTTAAAGATATCATTGAAATTGATCGTTATAATTAACTCTGGTCGTTATAAAGTAAAATTTCAAATTATTAAAGACTTATGGACACCTATCTTTTTCGTTCGAAACGCAATTATAAGTTTAGCAACACTAAGAATTTTTTATAAGAAAAAAACAATTTGGTTGCTGTTTAGCTGCCAGCAAAAACTGCTATTAAAAAACCAATTTGGTTGCTGTTTAGCTGTCAGCAAAAACTGCTATTGCACTTCTCACCAAGATGAGATGATTGTCTTCACGGTTGTCTATACGGTCTTTAACAAGAAGGTTCCCGAGCTACCGAAGTTTCGATTGGCAAACAGAAAAGTCATTTGAATCAATGGTTTTGCGAATGAGTTTATGTCAGTCCAGATTTTGAGAAAATTTCAACCAAAAGTTGTGGAACAATTTTAATTTTTCAAGGTTCAATAATCAGTTCACATAAAAACAATCAATTTCAATTCCAAACTTAGGAGCCTGCAATTGACTTCGCAGTAGAAATAAGCATGCGCTTTATTAACTTCGCGTAATAAACATTTATTGTTCTTAGATAATTTCAAACGAGTTAACTTTTGAACATTTGACTCTGGAAATTATAGAATTAGATTGAACAGTTATTTTATGCAGGTTGAATATGGAAATAACAGTGAGCAAGACCTCTGACGAAGTTGGCGAAAAAATCTGGGAGGTTGTCCAAAAACACAAAAAGAAAAACTGGCTGATCCATAAAAATTACATCGAAGATGTACAGAAGAACCAGGTTCCACTGTTCAAAATTAGCCCATCCGATTTGAACCCAGACCTGGACATCTGGTATCCGAACCAGAACTACGAGAGAAAAACCATCAACGGAATCTCGTACATTATGCCCAACTGTGATTGGGTGAGAATTCACTTGAACACTGATCGATTCATAGAAAAACGACCGTGGATCTCAAAGGCGGCAATAGCTTACCACGGAAGTAGCCATGAAGGTAGGTTTACTTACTCCTCGGTTAAGCTTACTTACAACATTGGTACTTCGGGGCGCATCCATCAAATCTGAAAAAAAAATCATCTAACATATAGGCATTCTGGCCAAACACAACATCAGTACCACAATTGAAAAAATCGAAATGGTAAGCGATAGTACAAAGGGAGTCTTCAGAAGAAAGAAAACGAATCTCCCGATCTGTTACTCAAAAAACCGGCAAAATTAATTACTACGAAAACGACCTTTTGTGCAGACGAGTAGAGTGCATATAGTGCACTATGATGGAGGATTTCATACATGGAAGGCCATTGGGTATAAAATCATAATGGTTATCGTGTATAAATTGATCAGCAACCATCACCATGTAAACATCCCAGTTGTCACCATCTATTGTTTTATACCTGAAAGACCTCATAAAAAAGTTTAGAATATTATTGTCTATTGCCACTAAACGTTGCGGTTACATGTTTGGCGCGATAAAAGTTTTGCTTAAGCTTCATTTCAATAACAACTGGTCTGTATCACTGCTCTTTTTTCCGCCTGCTCAGATGTCCTCAAGGCCCTGATTCAAAATCAGTTTACGTACAAATACATACCAAAGTATGCTAAAAAGAGCCTACCTTAAATGAACACGAATATATCCGCAATAAACTGGATCCTAAAACTGGACAAAAGCTCACACTTAAAAACATTGAAAACACGGAATAACGAGAAGTAAAATTTATTGTTCACGCAAAACTCTATTTATAAACCTGATCTTTTTTACTATACAAAGACTAATGTGTTTTGTCTCTTGATCAATTCGCGGCCTCTTTGATTATGGTTCTTCTGCGCCTTCTTCAACTGCTTTAATATTGAAGAACGACTTCTTGAACAATGACGACTCCTCCTGGATAGAAAAATTGGGCTTCATATCGACAATATCCTTGTTATCTATATCACTCTGTTTTTTTTCTGGTGCTTTAATCAGACCGTCATCTGAAGTTTGTCAACTGATATTGACCTGGTAAATCTAACTGTCAACTGTCGAACGAGAAGTTGTTTTTGCGTAGTGTCAACAGCCAAAATATCCTCAGGGTAGTCGTCATCTTTTTCCTGATGGTCCCAATCAACCTTTTAAGTGTTTAAGAATTTTTCAGAAACCCTATCTAGAATCGTTTCCATCCCACAAGCCTGGCTGATGACGATACTCAAATTTGCTATCAAGTTTTCTAATTAGTCCCTGTTAGTGAATTCTTCAGACCCCATTTTAAAAATCGTTTCAGTCCCAGGACAATCTTCCGTTTCGACAGTGTTGACAATCTTCAAAACTGGCGTCCCTTTTTTCATCAGGCGTGTCGACATTTTCAGCGGAGTTGTTGTCATTTTGTCATTCGCTACTTGATGATTTGAAACAATTTTAACTTTCAAGTTTCAACAATCAGTCAAATAAAAACGGGCATATTTTAACTCCAAATTAGGAGCATGTAAGAAACTTGGCTACAGATAATCGAAGAGTTTTTAGTTTTTTCATAAAATTTTTGACTCTACAATGTATAGAAGTAGATTGTAATAACATTTATTTTATGTAGGCTGAAAATGGAGGTTACGGTGGGTAATCGTTCTGACGAAAATTACAAAAAAATTAAGGAGGTTGTCCATAAACACAAAAAGAAGTAATGGCTGACCCATAAATACATCGAACGTGTACGGAAAAGCCAGACTCCACTGTTCAAAATTAGCCCATCCGATTTGAACCCAGACCTCGACATCTGGTACCCCAAACAGAACTATGAGAGAAAAAGCATCAACGGAATCTCGTACATTATGCCCAACTGTGATTGGATGAGAATTCATTTGAACACTGATCGATTCATAGAAAAACGACCGTGGATCGCAAAGGCGGCAATAGCTTACCACGGAAGTAGCCATGAAGGTAGGTTTACTTACTCCTCGGTTAAGCTTACTTACAACATTGGTACTTCGGGGCGCATCCATCAAATCTGAAAAAAAATCATCTAACAGATAGGCATTCTGGCCGAACACAACATCAGTACCACAATTGAAAAAATCGAAATGGTAAGCGATAGTACAAAAGGGAGTCTTCAGAAGAGATAAAACGAATTTCCCGATCTGTTACTCAAAAAACCGGCAAAATTAATTACTACGAAAACAACCTTATGTGCAGACGAGTAGAGTGCATATAGTGCACTATGATGGAGGATTTCATACATGGAAGGCCATTGGGTATAAAATCATAATCGTTATCGTGTATTAATTGATCAGCAACCGTCACCATGTAAACATCCCAGTTGTCACCATCTATTGTTTTATACCTGAAAGACCTCATAAAAAAGTTCAGAATATTATTGTCTATTGCCACTAAACGTTGCGGTTACATGTTTGGCGCGATAAAAGTTTTGCTTAAGCTTCATTTCAATAACAACTGGTCTGTATCACTGCTCTTTTTTCCGCCTGCTCAGATGTCCTCAAGGCCCTGATTCAAAATCAGTTTACGTACAAATACATACCAAAGTATGCTAAAAAGAGCCTACCTTAAATGAACACGAATATATCCGCAATAAACTGGATCCTAAAACTGGACAAAAGCTCACACTTAAAAACATTGAAAACACGGAATAACGAGAAGTAAAATTTATTGTTCACGCAAAACTCTATTTATAAACCTGATCTTTTTTACTATACAAAGACTAATGTGTTTTGTCTCTTGATCAATTCGCGGCCCCTTTGAATATGGTTCTTCTGCGCCTTCTTCAACTGCTTTAATATTGAAGAACGAGTTCTTGAACAATGACGACTCCTCCTGGTTAGAAAAATTGGGCTTCATATCGACAATATCCCTGTTATTTATATCACTCTGTTTTTTTTCTGGTGCTTTGATCAGACCGTCATCTGAAGTTTGTCAACTGATATTGACCAGGTAAATCTAACTGTCAAGTGTAGAATGAGAAGTTATTCTTGCGTAACGTCAACAGCAAAAATATCCTCATGGTAGTCGTCATCTTTTTCATGATGGTCCCAATCAACCTTTTGAGTGTTGAAGATTTTTTCAGATACCCCATCTAAAATCATTCCCATCCCACATCCCTGGCTGATGACGATGCTTAAAATTGGTATCAAGTTTTTCTATTTAATCATTGTTAGTGAATTCTTCAGACCCCATTTAAAAAATCGTTTTTGTCCCAGAACATTGGTTGTTGACAATTTTCAAAACTGGCGTCCATTTTTTCATCAGGTGTGTCAAAATTTTCAGCGGAGTTGTTGTCATTTTCAGCAGCTATCATCAATGCCATTCGTTACTTGATGATTTGAAACAATTTTAACTTTCAAGGTTTAAAAATCAGTTAAATAAAAAACAGGCATTTTTAACTCCAAATTAGGAGCATAATGAAAACTTGGCTACAGATAATCGAAGAATTTTTGGTTTCTTCATAAAATTTTCAGATATTTTTCTAGTTTAACAGACAAGTTATTTTTTGTTTTTTGACTCTAGAATGTATAGAAAAAGACTGCAATAACAGTTATTTTATTAAGGCTGAAAATGGAGATTACGGTGGGTAAAAGTTCTGACGAAGTTTGCAAAAAAATCAAGGAGGTTGTCCATAAACACAAAAAGAAGTAATGGCTGACCCATAAATACATCGGAAGTGTAAGGAAGAGCCAGACTCCACTGTTCAAAATTAGCCCATCCGATTTGAACCCAGACCTCGACATCTGGTACCCGAACCAGAACTACGAGAAAAAAAGCATCAACGGAATCTCGTACATTATGCTCAACTGTGATTGGGCGAGAATTCACTTGAACACTGACCGATTCATAGAAAACGGCCGTGGATCTCAAATGCGGCACTAGCTTACCACGGAAGTAGCCATGAAGGTAGGTTTACTTACTCCTCGGTTAAGATTACTTACAACATTGGTACTTCGGGGCGCATCCATCAAATCTGAAAAAAAAAATCATCTAACAGATAGGCATTCTGGCCAAACACAACATCAGAACCACAATTGAAAAATTCGAAATGGTAAGCGATAGTACAAAAGGGAGTCTTCAGAAGAGAGAAAACGAATTTCCCGATCTGTTACTCAAAAAACCGGCAAAATTAATTACTACGAAAACAACCTTATGTGCAGACGAGTAGAGTGCATATAGTGCACTATGATGGAGGATTTCATACATGGAAGGCCATTGGGTATAAAATCATAATGGTTATCGTGTATAAATTGATCAGCAACCGTCACCATGTAAACATCCCAGTTGTCACCATCTATTGTTTTATACCTGAAAGACCTCATAAAAAAGTTCAGAATATTATTGTCTATTGCCACTAAACGTTGCGGTTACATGTTTGGCGCGATAAAAGTTTTGCTTAAGCTTCATTTCAATAACAACTGGTCTGTATCACTGCTCTTTTTTCCGCCTGCTCAGATGTCCTCAAGGCCCTGATTCAAAATCAGTTTACGTACAAATACATACCAAAGTATGCTAAAAAGAGCCTACCTTAAATGAACACGAATATATCGCAATAAACTGGGTCCTAAAACTGGACAAAAGCTCACACTTAAAAACATTGAAAACACGGAATAACGAGAAGTAAAATTTATTGTTCACGCAAAACTCTATTTATAAACCTGATCTTTTTTACTATACAAAGACTAATGTGTTTTGTCTCTTGATCAATTCGCGGCCTCTTTGAATATGGTTCTTCTGCGCCTTCTTCAACTGCTTTAATTTTGAAGAACGAGTTCTTGATCAATGACGACTCCTCCTGGTTAGAAAAATTGGGCTTCATATCGACAATATCCCTGTTATTTATATCACTCTGTTTTTTTTCTGGTGCTTTGATCAGACCGTCATCTGAAGTTTGTCAACTGATATTGACCAGGTAAATCTAACTGTCAAGTGTAGAATGAGAAGTTATTCTTGCGTAACGTCAACAGCAAAAATATCCTCATGGTAGTCGTCATCTTTTTCATGATGGTCCCAATCAACCTTTTGAGTGTTGAAGATTTTTTCAGATACCCCATCTAAAATCATTCCCATCCCACAACCCTGGCTGATGACGATGCTTAAAATTGGTATCAAGTTTTTCTATTTAATCATTGTTAGTGAATTCTTCAGACCCCATTTAAAAAATCGTTTTTGTCCCAGAACATTGGTTGTTGACAATTTTCAAAACTGGCGTCCATTTTTTCATCAGGTGTGTCAAAATTTTCAGCGGAGTCGTTGTCATTTTCAGCGGCTATCATCAATGCCATTCGTTACTTGATGATTTGAAACAATTTTAACTTTCAAGGTTTAACAATCAGTTAAATAAAAAACAGGCATTTTCAACTCCAAATTAGGAGCATGTAAGAAACTTGGCTACAG